ATAATCAAATACTGAAACTAAAAGACGAGGGTGCCTCGGGAACAACTGGAACTAAGAGATTCAAAAGCCACCTCTCATCTCTATTACTTTCGGCTGGTTTTCTTCATTGCACCCTCCCCCTTCCCCCAGCCCATGCCAGCTCCACCCGGCCTTTGCCGCGGGCGGTCTGCGGCGAGCTGACACCTCCTCCCCCTGGGGCGGCGCCTCCTCGGCGGTGTGGCCGCTCGCTAGCTTGCTCGCTCGGCAGCGCTCGGGCGGCAGCGGCGCGGGGCTCGGCTGGGCTCGGCTACGCTCGGCTGGGCCCGGCAGGGCTCAGCTGACAGCAAAAACACCGAAGACCCGGACCTCCTGCGGGGCGGGGTCCGCGGCCGACTGCCTGTCTGGGGCGGGGCCATCCCCGCGCCACTGCCACCATCCAATTGGCTGGCTGCGCCAGGCTGCCCCGCCATTGGTTGTGCGCTGGGGCGGGGACTGGCCCACCTCTTGTGCAAGCGGGAGGGAGGGGGGCAGAGGGCTGAAGAGGGTACTCAGTCTAGATACCTACCAGGGAGTGAGGCTAACCTTCCTGCTAACATTTCTTGCACCTTCCACACCTGGAAGAGCTGCACACCCCACATCTGATAAAGGCCTCTGCACCCCTTCCCGCCCCCCATCTGAGGAGACTGGCCTCCTTATATCTGGGAGAGGTCTCCTTTCCCGTCATCCGGAGGAAAGCCCTCCACCTCCACACCTGGAAGGAGACTGAACGCCTTCATTTTGGAAGCCCCCTGTACTCCCCCATCAAGTCCCGCTCCCACTTGGGAGTGGACTCTTCATCTCCACTTTAAAGGATTTGTAATTGGCAACACATTCCCTGGCCCCAAGAGGTGTGAGAATCTTTGGCAACACAAATCTTTAGTACACATTTATTGAGTTTCCACCCAGTGTTGGTTGCGGGCTTGTGCTTTGCTGTGCTGTGGGGGAGGCTGGGACAGAGAGGAATGGGGTGTCCTGAGGGATGGCTCAGCCCTGGCTGGAATAGGAGCAGGCATGGTGGACTGAGTGACTCTCTCCACGCTAGAATCTCTCCCAAGAAGATCAGCTTGGGCAGGAGCACGGTAAGGGAGGCTTTCCTCTCCTTGACCCTCACATGCTCTACATATTCTCCACGAATGATCACATCCCTGAAGCTATACCATCAAGATTCCCAGTGCTCCCAAATCCAGCCTTAACGTCTCCGTGGAATTCTAGACCCATATAGCCAAGTGCCTAATAGAATCATTGATTCCTGGTTCTGCCACTTACTAGCTTTGTGAGTTTAGGCAAGTTACTTGACCTTTCTTAGCCTCAGCTTCCCGCTCTGTAAAATGGTTATAGTAATAGCTAGCTCTCAGGTTGTTATTAACTAATTCATTATACCAACCAGACCAGCCACATTTTGGCAAATGCCAGCTGACACACCCCCAAGGACATGTGGCTAAGGGGTCCCTTAGCTATGTGATCCCTTAGTTTTCAGTGGCTGATTTTTTTCAGAATTAGATCACCAGCTTTTTCTTCTGAGGCACCTCTGAGTGGACAGCTGGGCACATTACCCATTTGCACCACCAGGGACTCCATCCCAACATTTGAAGAATGCTTTGGGCTGCTGGGTGAAGGGAGATTAAAGGTGTTTGTGAAGACAACGAGTAATGAAGAGGGACTGAATTGATGCAGGGGAGTAGGAGTGGAGAGCAGAGAGCATTGAGGATATATGGGAGCTAAAACTGGCAGGAATTAGAGACCTATAGGATATGGAGGGTAAAAGGGAAGGAAATGTTTGAGATAACTCCCCGGTTGGTGACTAGGGATACTGTGGTGCGCTTACTGAGATAGAGAACACACAGAGAAGGGGTGAGTTTCATTAGGAGGTTGGGAGGATGGTGAGTTCAGTTTTGGGGGTATGTTGAATCTGAGGTACCAGTAGGACATCCAAATGGAACTGTCTAACAGGCAATTGGATAAACAGGTCTGGGATTCAGGAGAGAGGTCCAGGCTGGCGATAACGTTTTGTGAATTATCGGCAGAAAAAAGTGGTAATTAAATCGCAAAAGTGGATGAGCTCACCCAAAGAAAGTGCGAACCGGCATAAGCAAAAAGATACATACATAATCAAATACTGAAACTAAAAGACGAGGGTGCCTCGGGAACAACTGGAACTAAGAGATTCAAAAGCCACCTCTCATCTCTATTACTTTCGGCTGGTTTTCTTCATTGCACCCTCCCCCTTCCCCCAGCCCATGCCAGCTCCACCCTCAGACTGTCTTCCAATGCTTTTCTGGTCTACATGATGAAAAACATGATTTAAGACCATTCTAAAGTTTACGATCTTATTGTCTAGGCATCTGAAGAGAGACTGGCTGTTTTTCCTGGTTGCAGTACTTGGTGGAAACTTGGTTGGAAGTTTTCGGAATGGTTCAACTTAGTTAAAGGCTTGACTCTGGATCAGTCAACTGTGTCCAAGGGATGAGGATCAAACTGACTAACATGACCCACATGATAAGCCTATGGACAGTGTGGGGGCCAGGGGAATTTGCCAGGAGAAGAGGGATCCTGAATAAGGAAAATGGTAGGTGTTCACTATAGTACACCCCTTAGTTGCCCAACACACATACACATACCACACACTGTTTTCCTATGTGTATGATTCCAGAAATGCCCTCACCTACATAATCCTACCATCAGGGTCGGATTAAC